GTTTCTTCGTAATGCTGTACTATAGGAGCGAATCGCCATATTGGATTTCAGCCCCATGCGGAGACCCGATCTAGCCCCCCCCCCCCGAGAGAAATCCTGCGTACGCCACTGATTGTACGGAGCGGTATAGCCAAGGCAAGACGTCTTGGCGACGCACAATCCCAGTCTCGACGCCGGTTGAGCCCAGACGTGAGGATAGAGGAGACAGAATTTCGAAATCTGGATCATATAGGGAGGGAGATACGCGGAGTAGCGGGGTGACTAATCAGATGGGGGTCGAAAAGCAATATATATTTACGGCGCACTGTTCCCAGTTGGAATGGTACAGAGTGTACGGGGATGAAAGTGACGGGGAGTCTCCGCTTCGCGATGATAATTCGATTAGCATTCCAGAGGATATTCAACGGGCGGAGGCATCGAAGCAGTCGCTGGTGGAGAAGAACATCGAGCAGAGTGAACAAGAGGACATTCGAGTCGACGAGTTGTCACAACATTTCGAGGGTCTGAACATGTCGATCCAAGCAGAGGAGACGGAGCCGAAGATCAGACAAACAACAAAGGCGGTTAGGGAGGAATCAAGTGAAGATTCTAGAAGAGACGGGGCGCCGAAATCAAAAAGCGAACGGGCCCGAAATCACCAGAAGGTTGAGGTTACACCGCTGACGGGGAGAGAGGCACGAGAACGACGAAAAGAGGGTGAAGCAAGAGTTCGGCCGAAGTGAACAGTGCATTTCCGAGGCAAATATACTGAGTATATAGTAAGGCGGAAAAAGCGAGGAGGAAATCAGGAATAGATGATGAATTAGGGAAAAATATATAGGTGATAATGTGCTGGTAGGCAGTGGAAAAAAAACGTTCAAGTTGAGGACAACTAGGAGGTAGCGATGGCAGAGCGAGCGGGCGATGCACGCTGAAATCGGCGGAAAGAAGACACCCCAACGGAAAAAGAGATCGGAAGGCTCGAATCGAACAAAGCAGCAGTCTTTTCAACGTCAAGTGTGCTACGAGCCGGTCGACAATGAGCGTGTGCGCGGACCGCCTGGACAATCGGCATGACACAGGCGTGTGTGGAGCGGACGCGCGATGGCGGTGGAGGAACAGTCGGCAGAGGTGAAAATGGCTGGTCCGCAGTACCCCGCCGGCTGGACCGAAGAAGACGTGCACAATTCCAGGATGGCGGCGCATTATAAATGTGCGGTATGTCTGACGGTGCCGGATGATCCGCAGACGACGAAGTACGGTCATCTCTCCTGTTATCTATGTCTCGCAAAGGTGTTGAGGCGGTTTCCGTTATGTCCGACGTGCAGAACGTCGTTGCGAGGTGAAGATGCCGTCAGGAATTTGTACTTATACGGCGGTCGTTAGAGGTGGAGGAGCTGTCAGGAGTCAGCTTAGGTAGCGTGACCGAATGTCGTGGTCAAAATGTGGTGTAGATGGACATTTGACGATTGAGGTGTAAGACGGATGTTCAGATGTGCGAGGTGTACAGTGTGCGAGAAGCAGTCGGAGAATACGGTCGCACTGCGACGAGAGGTCGGCTGTGGCGGTTATTGAGAGTGTTGAATAAACTAGAGGTGTCCCAAGTTGGTTCGATATTGCCGGGGTCTTCACTTGCCGTATCCCAGGAAGACAGCCCCGATACATCGATCTCCGATTCGAAGCCGTCGATCGCACGCACTTACGCCTAGAGGTCCTTCCCTCCTCACGTCGCTGGAGCTCCGAGGCGACGCTACAAGTATATGTGGAGTATGATGTACCGTGAATGCTCTAATAGTAGGGCATTTTCCGATATGAGGGCCGTTATAAGAGAAGGTTCAGAGAACTTGGAAAATACACGGGCACTCTCCATCGTTATAGGAAGGCTCTACTATACGGGCAGGTATGGGGAACTTGGGAAATGGTCGAGCATTATTACGCTGCGTCTAGCGCCTCATAGAGCGTTGGTCGGTGGACACTCGGTGTGATACAGCGACGTTCGACGTCTCGTGGTGCTCACGGCTCGCTTCCCGCGTCTTCCGAGCTTCCTCGGGGATCCTCAGGTTTGAGTCGGAAATATACAGGAACACCCTGTGATAGCTTTTACGGCACTGTAGAATAGGAACGCTCATTCGAAAGCATCGCGAGCTGCTTCCTTTCTATGAGGCATGATTATTGGTGGCCTACGACAGAAACAATTCCGATGATGGAGTGCGACAATGATCTTATGCAATTGACGAGAGCTTCCACGAAGAGCCCGCTGGCCGCGTCTCTGACCGATTCCATCAAAGGAGCTTCATGAATTGACAGCGAAGTCGTCCCTTATCTTCTTCCTTCCATTTATTCAGGGAAATTTGAATGCTTTTAAACCTATAATCCTGCTAGGTCGTCGCTGCAAACCGGGGTCATCATCTTGAGCTTAAGGAGGGAATGTCCTAATGTCCGACACAGTGACACTCGAAAATCTCGGAACAGAATCCGGTTTTCCAAGAGTTCTGTCTGCATTGCTCGCGGCATTTCAACGATCCTCTCATGCAATCACTTTTGTCGAAAGAGGGGAGGATTTCCTCATCAGAATCCGGTGAACAGATGACAACATCGAGCATTATAGTCAGCAGCAGCGTGACCAGCAGGAACTTCAAGGAGCCATTTGTCATTCTCGCGGGATTGGGCATCGATGGGTTCCTGGAAGGAATTGAGAGCGTTCCTTATCAAAGAAGTGGAGAACGGTTAGCTGGAGCAGCTTCCCTCGATCGATCCGGAGCGCTTCCCGGAAAGCAGATCTTTTGAGTCATGACGACTGATGACCATGACGCGGAATTTCCCCACGATACCCTCACGTAGAGACTGGCTGCTACACTGAGTCTCGCTCGATGAATGGAGCGACGCGGAACTAAGGAGTCGCCTAATTTCTCCACGGGACAATAGCTCCGTACTTGAGACTCATCGACGGGGGTCGCGACGCGACGTAGTCACCAATCACACATTATCTCCCGGATTCACTAAGGGTGGAATGGTCCCGCCAACACACAAGTCACAGCAGCAGAGGAAGCGAGTTAATCTACACCCGCTAGTCGCTCCATCATGAATCATAAAGGTTCGACAGGATCCCTATTGCTGGCGATTCGAACGCGATAAACAATAGAAATTCCTCGGCGCCATCGACTCAAATGAGAATGAGATCGAGAGGGAGCGACTCGATTCTCAGCGCCGGGTATATGAAGCTGCGATGTGATTTTCTGTCGACTCGGTATTCAAGACATGTTTAGTTACCCTGCCGATATCGTCTCCGGGAATTCTCGGGATCCACCAGAATGTCTGCCCAGCAGTATCGGGGTCGTGCCGAGTTACTTCAAATAGCGTACCCCGTTCCCTGTCAAGGGTCAGACGATCGAGTTTCAAAACTATACACAGCAGAGCGAATCATGGCGAACATTTCAAATCCGCCGATTCAATTCAATTCAACTTCTCCGCGTCGGCTGCGGTCACTTACTGACATCGAAATGAGCATTGTGAGATCGTACCTGTTTTCGATTGGAGTGTTTGGGGATGAACGGAAGGGACGTCAAGAGTGTTTCGAAATCGAAAGAGTTTGTGGTCAGACAACGAATACCCTCACCACATTCCAGCTCGATTTTTCCGAATTTGCACTTTGTGTGGAACGCCTTTTTGTGCAGACAGTGACAGAATGCCCGGTCACGCGGATTCACACGATCGGGTCTCACCTGAGCAAGTAGAGCCTTACATTGAGACAATCATGATAGACCGTCTTGTCGTCCTTCCTGGTATTCGCAGCCGGGAGAACTGACGGATGGAGTGTGAGAGTAGACTTGGCGAAGCGACGGATGAATAATTATTCAGAATTGGAATCAATCATTTTTCCAATCAGAATCAATCAGAGAGTACGATCGTCAAGCCGAAATCGAGAGATCACGACCCGAACGTTTTCCGTGATGTCTCTTCGGAATCGAAGACCTATGGCATAACTGACCTGGGAATCCGGCGCTTTAGGGGCAACGCGTCATAACATAAGAAGGACGGGAGTCAGCTGGGACTCGTCAAGAACTCGTTCAGCCAGGGATGAGAGAGAAAGAAGCAGGTTGGAGCCTGGGAGTCATTGTTCTCTCGCTGACTTCCATTGTCGATCGACGAATGATTGTTCTCTCAGAAGATCTCACCGATGGTATTTTCACTGGGCTTTCATTTTGACCAATTTTCGAATAATGTCCCAGAGCAGACCAGCCAGTCTGCCCCCGCACTGAAAGCTTGTCGCCAACTTCGGCAGCACATAGGATTTTGGATTCTCGATTATCCACGCTTCTCGATCGCAGGATCACTGATCTGATCATCGGGCTGGAGGCCGCTCGCGCATCCATATACCGATTGTCTATCCTCCACCTGGGAGCAAGTGTGGAGTATATATCTCCAGTTCTACGGCGATTCCCTGAGGGCACTAACGAGACCCTCCCGTGAGCAGAGCCACGACCTCTCACGAATGAACGATTCCTCTGTCGTGGATGAAAGCTCTTCGTGTAGAACTGATCCCTTTCGCAAGGCATCACCGACATGTTCCGCGAATAGCATCACGAACATCCCTGATCTGAGCTCATATTCCCGATAATTACCGGTAAGTACCGATAATATCCTTGACCAGGTATCGAGAGACGGCGTTGACAGAGGGATACCCACAAGCATCGCGAAAAGCCGAACTAGCGTCTCACGAGAGCTTACGAGAGTAGGCAGGAGACGGAAAACGTGTCGGTTAGCGCCTCCTCCTGCTCCGGAACTTTTCCCGGTCCCCCTACATATGTGGATTCGGGATCGCTCGCACGCTTTCCTGTCACCTCCACGAGGATTCCGCTACCTTCAATGCTTATGGACGGAATGATGCCTTCAGAGATCGGACTCGATTTCCCCCCTCTGCGAAGACTTGAGCGAGCTAGGATACAGATTCAACGACACTGCATGGAACGAGTACAGGGAGAGCCTTAAGATCAAGAGGGCCAAACACCATAATGCAGGCTTCACCACCGGACCAGCGTTCACCGGAGAGACATGGAAGAATGCCAACCAGAAAAACAGGGCCTACATATGCCGCGTTACGTACCACGGCTATCATCACGAAATCTGCCAGAGAGCGGACTTCTTCGAGACAATAACTGACTTGTGTACTTGTAAATACTGTGGAATGGAGCGGATAGACCGCCACCACATCTTGAATTGTATATATTTTCAAGACAAGACGATCAGCTCAATCGTTCGAGAGATATCAAACCACTGCGGGTAACCTGCGAATAAATCACTTGTATTGTATTTCCTCCTCTAGGAAGTCCCTATCCACGGGGAGACTCAGCTCCTCTGGGGTAGACCATTCACCTTCCATTATTCGGAAGATTTTCGGAAGCTCCCCGGCGATGAATGACTAGGTAGTTTGGTACTAGGTACCTCTGATCGTATCCGTACAGGGGGAACATCGGCTGCCTACCGCCCCGAGTAACGATTTCGGAACAGGAGTCGTGAGTCTGAATTTTCAAATCCATTCTTATCACGGCAGACGTCGGCCCGCATTGAAATCGAATTCGACCGAGAACGATTTCTGTCGTTGCGATCGACGCAATACGCCGCCGCGGCGTCGTCGATGACTCCGTTACCGCTGCGTGGGCTCCCTCACAAAGAACAGAATTGTGAGGATTTTGCAATTCCAGCCGGTTTCGATCAGAAGCGGAAACGTCGCAAACAACATCCGTGAAAGATAATTCCATCCCTGTGTACACTAAAATTCTGTGGAGTTTGTCACCAAATCGTCGCAGGGCTTGCCGGTCTCCTCTGCGGGCCGCCCCGTAGGAGAGACTGCCGCGTAATTGAATAGTCGACAGCATAAAGCGGCGAAGCGTCCATGAGCTAAATTAAGAACTCCTATGATCCTCTCGCAGGACTGCAACAGACGTGACACCGCACCGTGGTGGACTGGAAGGAAATTTGAAGTGCCGGAATTTTCGTTATGAAACGTGTGACGCTGTGTCTGCTGATTCTCGGAGTCACAATAGTGGGCTCGCAGCCCACGGGCAAAGGTGAGCGCGTTTCGGAGCTATCAGATGGAGCCCTCGCTTGAAATTCGTTACGAAGTCTCAGACAATACCCTGATTTTCCGCAAATTGGCGTAGTCTAGGGAGCCACAGCAATCGATGCAGATTTTTCGGGATTTCTTGCAAAGCTACCGAATATCGGGAGGAAAAATCAGGGCATAGGTAGACCGAAAAATGGGTGTAGGTTGACCAAGATACAGACCAAAAAGAACTCATCTTTCGCACTTGGCTCTTTTAGATGTGTGCAGATTATCCCCTCTCCCTGGGATTGGAAAAGCTTTCTTCCCAATGTTTTACTATGCGGAAACAGTCAAGGAATGCCGTCAATTCGCTTACGGAGGGATCGAAGTGGCCACTAACGGCAACAAGTTTGAAACCTGTGAAGAGTGTAGAGGAACCTGCAATCCCAAAGCTAAATGTTCAGATACGATCGATAGCATAGGTACTCCTCATGTGTAAATGGTTCAGCGCGGAAGACGGATTTCCGATTCGATGAGAATAAATTCCGCTTGATACCGGCCGCGATTATTCCAAGCTCCGTCTTATTGTCGGACACCTTCCAGCCTCCTCGTTTTCAGGCCAGAATTGACTCCCTCGACAGTCCTTGGATCTCATGTTGGTGCGCTCTCTCCTCCAATCGTCTAGTGTTTCGGAACGATAGTACAACGTCGACCCGAGCCAGAACCTCTGCTACTCACTGGGTTGATTACAGATTTCAGTTCGTCCACGCCACTGGAAGAAATTTCATTCTGCTCTCGCGAGTGGCGCGTCGATCGAGCAGCGAAACACAGTGAACATCAATCGATCTCGTTCCTGCGTCGCGACGCCGACGTCGCATTTTCCCCACGGCACCGTGTCGCTGCGCCATGTCTGTCGGGGCAACACGACTTCCCGATCTGTCGGCACTTTGCTTTCTCTAAAGAGTCTTCAAACGATCAGAAGCCCTCTCCAACGACCGCGTACTATGAGTTCCTCATGTGACCGACCCATTATGGATATCCGGATGAGGGAATGAGGTGATTTCAGCGGGATCTCTCCGAGGGGAATCCGCCCTCTGTCCGAACCCGAGCGCCGCGGTTGTCCATCGAAATAAAATTCTTTGTCTCCTGTCGCAGGTGGCGGCGAAGCACTTGGAATGCACCTCTGATTGGGCAAAAATCCGGAGATGCCTCAGCCCCGATTTTAAATCGCTTGAACTGACAACTTCAATATATTTCAGGGAATTCCCAAGCACTTTTTCCCCAGTAAGGTTATGGATCGTTCCCGTATGAATTCGCGTTCCTATGTAAGCGCATCGAGTTGCTCACTAGACTTTCGGAACGCGATCCATTCGATCTGTCGGGGCCTCAGGTGGGAGAGTCGGCGAAATTCGTACAGCTGCAAAGAGAGGGTTTTCGGAAATCATGTTCGATCGAATGTGGAAATCATGAAACAGGAACACTTCATGGAATTCCATACTGGAATACCAGTCCCATCAGTCGCTGGTTTGTTTTTTCGAGCCCTGTGCCTTCGATACTGTTCCATGAAACTCATTGAGGCTTATTGTTAGTTGTGTACACATACCATCGCCTCGTTCAGCTCGAGACATGATGACGGGTGGGCGGAATCGGGTGTCCGGACGGATGTTTCTCTTCTGGGGTCGGCATCAGAGACGAGTATCGAGACCGGGAGGAAGAACAGTCGCGCAAACTAAGATTAGCCGTTTCTTCATCTCCTGTCATAATTCGCTCGTTGAACTACGTGTTGAACATTATCTCTTCCGCCGCCGCATCCCGCCAAGCCACTCAAAGCATACCCTAGACCCTCGAACGTGATGCCTTTAGCGAGCCCTCATGTCCAATAGGGAGTCCCGCACCAATGACCTCGTGCAAACCACTCAAGCAGAGTTCTCATATAATTCCATAATGGTCGGCCTTGCTGGCCACTTCCATTGTCTGCTGGGACTTGTCTCGAAAGCGGAGTTCGTGTGTCGTGATTGCTTTTCCCCGAAGCATTCCATCGCTATTAACACGGAGTTTGAAGCCTCGCTCTATTGGAGCTGTGGAGCAGCGATCTACGTCAGCATCGCTCCGATTTAGGTCAGAGAAATGTTGTAAAACGCTTTGACTGTGCTGGGTATCTCGAGCAGAGTAGGAGAGTAGGAAAACAGCAAATCTTCCCTCGCATGTCGGTGATGACTTTGAACATGATCCTTATGGGAGACGCGATCGTCTACGCTTCCTTATCCTGTGGAACGTGGGAAGCGCGACTTCTCGGGGTAACTTATGCGATTGGCGTCATGCTGAATTTCGCTATCTAGCTGTGGAGACTTCAGACTTCAAGATTCGAAATCGGCCGCCTCGTACGCCTCCTAGGAGTCTTGAGTTTCTTCTGCTAGTTCCCTCGATTCATATGGACTTTCCAGCATGAGAGTTCAGCGGGAATCTCATGTCCGCCGTCACCGGACTCTGTTCTGTTGGTGTGCGAACGCAGAGGTTGCTTCTCCACATCGAGATCGCGGCGGTTCTCGATGTATGCGCCCGGGGAATCCGAGAGAGCGTCGCAAGAGCAACTCCGACCTCCCTACGGATAGCTTGCTCTGAAAATGAGTCGATTTGTTCTCGTTTCAGCCATCAACTCTCGTTCCCTTCGGCTGTGATGCATCTCGAATACGTGATTCGGCTCTTGTCGGTGATTCCGCTTTACGCTGCACATGGCACTTGCATCCGAGACTCGGTGCATATGGCAACAAACAACATCGAATCTTCGGCCGTCCTTCGTCTAGTGATTACCCGCGGCGACTCGACCGGGAGATCTAGTCGCAGCCTTGTTCGGAAGATACAGAAAGAGGACCAGTTCCTTGATATGGACTAGACACAACGCTCCTTGTAAGCGTGTTTTGGCGCGTCTTCTCCTCGACAATTCGAGGAATATCCCATGGACATTTTCTCGCGGCAAGCGTAGACCGGCGATACGCGGGGCGACCTTTGTAGCCCGAGACGACCTCCCCTGGCGCCTTCCTCCCCAAAAAAAGAAGCAAATTCTTCTTGATGAATCGACTTCGTGAGCGGGGCTATGTGTAAGTCGATAAATCCTGGAAGGAGTCCGGAAATCTGAGATGAATATCTACGGCCCTTCTGGCCAGGGGCGCCTTCTTTCTAGTTCCACCGTGACCGCGTGCGCTTCATAAATTCTTCTCGACATGATGTACCTAAACTCATGACTCGTGAGGAAGCACCGACCATGAATGCCATGCAGCCTTCTTTCGGATCGTGTGAAAAGTCGTTCCGGGCTCTCTCGTATCTTATTCTTATACCACCTAGAGGTTTCGATCTTGAGACCGGATGTGATACCGGAATGCAGAATCACGATCTTTTCCACTTCGTCGCTTCCGGAATAGAACCCTCTCTCCCGTGATACACTCAATTCCGAAGTTTTTTTGGAATTGAAAAATGCATCCAGTTCCTTGATCGACGCGTTCGTACACTGCCCCTCAGTTCTGCACAGGATGTTCTCTCAAAAGGCTTCGCAAGGTATCGAGAGCATCATTGGCGGTCTCAAGTTCAGTCCACTCAGGCCTGATCGATTGCGGGAGGTGGGCGGGGCGCTAGATGAGATTAGATGAGCACGCCAGCCAGGGCGGAGGTCACAAACAGAATACTTTTTCTTTCAGCCTAGGCTGCGCCCTCTCAGTTCGCGGAGCTCTCTCCAGGGCCGACTGGGAAGGCTCCGCCTCTTGGACGCGATTCCAGTGAATTCTTTCGATCTAGAACCACATGCAGAGGTTCCTGTCAGCCCGAGTTCATCGTGATCGAGCTCGCTCTTTTCGGCTCAAGACAATCCTGTGCTTTATCGTCAATAGGCTCCACGGAAGATTATTCCGACGCTGTCTTCGACTGATTGCGACTGAGCGACTCATTGAGACGTCGGGGGCGCCCGGGATTAATCGAGCCCTGATGTGAGTCATTAAACGGAGCTGTGATTCGCGTATCGACATCGATCGAGGACCCAAGAGGATGATGAGAATCTTGTTGACTCTGTTCGGTTTCTCGAACGGAGACAGAAGATGGCGACTCGTGGCCCGCATCGTGATCGTGACTCTCAACCTGATGCTGGCCGTTCAGTCGTTCGTCTCTTTCGCATTTTATCGCCATACATGGACGGGGCGATTACTTGGCGTCATGCGCATTGTCATTGTCCTACATGGGCTCGCGCTCTACTGGTGGAGAATTACGGTTCCACCGTTAGCGGAAATTCAACGACCTACTGAAATGGCGCGGAGATACGATTTTCTGCTGACGGTGGTCTTGATGGTGAGCGTGTACAATGTCGTCCTCGACTCAAAGTCCCTGCCGGCATGGGCGGACTCGAGCCTCTTCGAAAGGCTCTCGACCGTCGTTTCGATTTTTTCGTGCGCAACCGCGACAGCACATTCGACGGCCTCCTACATAGAGGTGGCGGCTGTTCTCGACGAGAACGCCGAAGAAGTCCGTAGAATGATCGCCAGTGCGACTCCGGTCTCTCTGAGCGAATGTTGCTTTAGCATCGAGGCCCGCTATGCTCGGCTCCGCGATCAGTTCTCGTTCCCGTTGACGGTGATGCATCTCGCATACGTGACCCGCCTGCTGGCCGAAATTCCTCTTTACCTCGCGCAAGGCCCCTGCATACAGGATCTGACGCAGAAGACCATTTGGAACGTCCAATACTCCGCAGTTCTCTTGCTCGTGATTGCCGGCGGCGATTCGATCGCGAAAGCGACCCGAAGACTCTGGTCGACAGCTCGGAAACGAGAACTGGGTCGAATTCCGATCAATGGAATGCAGGTTTTCACAAAGCGCGAACACGGTATCAGATTCGGGTTGGGTTCGTGTCTACTGTGGAAATCATGCTCATCCTTCTTCGGATTGAGTTGGGGCTTCACCCTCATGGTCTATCAGGCTTCGTCGAGCAATCGCGAGGGGAACTCCTGCGGTGTGAATACACTTTGGGAGTAGGGAGGATCGGAGCGCCGATCCCCGGTCAAGGCAATCGTCTGTGTTCGCTTACAGCCCGACCGGAACTCCGTGTTCCGTTCGATCGATAAGAGATCGAAGACGCGGAGCTGCACTGCCGAGTCGAGGTCGAACGTGGAGCATCGCTCGACCCATTACCTTTGTGAATATATGCCTATACATGAAAGAATTGCTGCTGCGCTCAAAGATTGCTTTTGCATTCTTTCTGAAAGTTGTTTCAATGCACAATGTCTGCAAAACGATCGACGTTCGCGAGACGTAGCGCAGATAGCTCGGGATTGAATGTATTGCGAAATGGATCCGATCAGCTGGCTCTGTGAACCCGGTGCTCTGTGCCCTGGCCCAGGAACCTGGTGTTCGCACCAGACACATCTCGATTTTGCTTCTTCGGAGTGAGCCGCATAAAATGAATTTCTCCGGGCGTGCCTCTTGCGTATGGGGAGCCGCATCTGGCGAACTCCTGCGTGTCGTGCTCATCTCCATCGACTGCGTCGGTATATCTGGGGCTGTTTGGTTTTCTTTGGCGAGTGT